CACTGTGAACACTGCACCCCCTGCACCCCTGCACCTGCTGTGCCCGCTGTGCACGTTGTGCCCGCTGCATCCACGGTGCAAGCTGTGCGCGCTGTGCGCGTTGTGCCCGCTGCATGCACTGTGCCCGCTGTGCACGCTGCATGCACTCTGCACAGTGTGTGCGCTGTGCAAGTTGTGCCCGCTGCATGCCCTGTGTCCGCTGTGCACACTGCGCCTGCTGCATCCACTGTGCACACTGTGCACGCTGCACCTACTGTGCACGCTGCACCCCCTGCCCCTCCTGTGCCCACTGTGCGCATTGTGCACGCTGCACCCCCTGCCCCTCCTGTGCCCACTGTGCGCATTGTGCACGCTGCACCCCCTGCCCCTCCTGTGCCCACTGTGCGCATTGTGCACGCTGCACCCCCTGCCCCTCCTGTGCCCACTGTGCGCATTGTGCACGCTGCACCCCCTGCCCCTCCTGTGCCCACTGTGCGCATTGTGCACGCTGCACCCCCTGCCCCTCCTGTGCCCACTGTGCGCATTGTGCACGCTGCACCCCCTGCCCCTCCTGTGCCCACTGTGCGCATTGTGCACGCTGCACCCCCTGCCCCTCCTGTGCCCACTGTGCGCATTGTGCACGCTGCACCCCCTGCCCCTCCTGTGCCCACTGTGCGCATTGTGCACGCTGCACCCCCTGCCCCTCCTGTGCCCACTGTGCGCATTGTGCACGCTGCACCCCCTGCCCCTCCTGTGCCCACTGTGCGCATTGTGCACGCTGCACCCCCTGCCCCTCCTGTGCCCACTGTGCGCATTGTGCACGCTGCACCCCCTGCCCCTCCTGTGCCCACTGTGCGCATTGTGCACGCTGCACCCCCTGCCCCTCCTGTGCCCACTGTGCGCATTGTGCACGCTGCACCCCCTGCCCCTCCTGTGCCCACTGTGCGCATTGTGCACGCTGCACCCCCTGCCCCTCCTGTGCCCACTGTGCGCATTGTGCACGCTGCACCCCCTGCCCCTCCTGTGCCCACTGTGCGCATTGTGCACGCTGCACCCCCTGCCCCTCCTGTGCCCACTGTGCGCATTGTGCACGCTGCACCCACTGTGCACGCTGAGCCCACTGCGCCCGCTGCATCCGCTGTGTGCTCTGCACCTGCTACGCCCACTTCACCTCCCTGTGCCCACTGCACCCCCTGTGCCCACTGCATCTCTTGCACCCACTGCATCCTTGTGCACGCTACGTGCTGCACCCCCTGCGCCTGCTGCATCCCCTATGCAAGCTCCGCCCACTGTGCACACTGCACCCCGTGTGCCTGCATCCCCTGCACCCACTGCATCCACTGTGCACGCTGCATCCACTGTGCACGCTGCACACACTGCACACACTGCATCCACTGTGCACGCTGCGCCTGTGACACCCCTATGCCTGCTGCACCTCCCTGCACTCCCTCAATCACCTGCACCCGCTGCACCCCCTGTGTGCGCTGCATCCCCTGCACCCACTGCACCCCCTGTGTGCGCTGCATTTCCTGTGCCCATGGTGCCCATTCCACCCGCTGCGCCCGCTTCACTTCCCCATGCCCGCTGCACCCCCTGCGCCTGCTGCACTTCCCTGCACTCCCTCCATGCCCTGCCTCCCCTGCACCCCCTGCACCCGCTGCATCCCTTGCACCCCCCACGTCCACCTCACCTCCCGGTGCTCGCTGCACCTCCCAGCACCTGCTGCATCTCCGGTGCCCATTTCATCTCACTGTGCCTGCTGCATCCTCGGTGCCCTCTGCATCCCCTGCACCTGCTGCATCTCCTGTGCCAGCTGCATCCCCAGTGCCCGCTGCATCCGCTGCACCCTCTGCCTCTCCTGTGCCCCCTCCATCCCCTGCACCCACTCCACTCCCTGCGCCTGCTGCATCCCCTGTGCCCGCTGCATCTCCCTGCACTCCCTCCATCCGCTGCATCTCTTGGTGCTCCCTCCATCTTGTGGACTCCCTCCATCTTGTGCACTCCCTCCATTTTCCACTGCCTGCAGCATCTCCTGGTGCTCCCTCCATCTTCTAGTGTCCCCTCCATCTCCTGGTGCCCTCTCCATCTCCCTGTGCTCCCTTCATCTCCCTGTGTTCCCTACGTCTCCTTGTGCTCCCTCCATCCCCCTGCTCTCTCCATCTCCCATCATCTTTAGCATCATCTCCCCTGCGCTCTTTCCATCTCCTTATCTTCCTTCAGGGTGTCCAAATAGCGCCCCCGAGGTGCTGCAGCGTGTCCAGAGAAGGGTGGTGGAGATGGTGCAGGGGCTGGAGCAGGGACCTGAGCGGGGAGCCGGGGCTGTCGGTGCGGAGAGGAGGCGGCTCCGGAGCCCCCATCGCTCTGCAGCTGCGGGAAGGAGGCTGCAGCGAGGGGGGTCGGGCTCTGCTCCGCAATAACTGGAAATGGATGGAGGAAACGGCCTCACGTTGCTCCGGGGAGGGTCGGGTTGGACATTGGGAAGCATTTCTGCATGGAAAGAGCAGTCAAGCACTGAACAGGCTGCCCAGGGCAGTGCTGAAGAACCGTGTGGATGAGGCCCTTAGGGACACGGTTTAGCAGGGTGGTGGGGATGCGTTTACGGTTGGACTCGGTGATTTTCAAGGTCTTTTCCAGTCACAGTGATTCCATGATCTCCCTGCGCTCCCTCCATCTCCTTGCGCTCCCTCCATCCCTCTGCTCTCTCCATCCCTGCGCCCTCGGGTGGCACCTGCAGCCCTGTCCTGGGTTCAGCCCTGCAGGGGCAGCAGGACCTGCCCCCCGCCGGCTCCGGGGGACGCAGAGCCCCTGTCCCTGATGCCCCCGGTGCCCCTGGTGTCCCTGGTGTCCCCGATGCTCCGGGCCCGGGACACTGTGACGGAGTGGGACGGACCCGGCACGCCGCGCGGTGCCGCTGGAGCTTGTGCACATCCCGTGGGATGCGGCAGCGGGACCCGCTTGTGCTTCCCGGCTCCCTGGGGAGCAGCGGGAAAGGAGGGTCCATCCTCCCCGCGGAGACGGAGCTTTTCCTGGCAAATCCCTGCGTTGCTGTTGTGAGAGGAGCAGCCGGGGCGCTGCGGAGCCATGGTCCATCCTGCCATTGAGGGTTTCCCAAAGTTATTTGGGCTGCAGGTGTCAGGGCGCATCAAGGTGACGGGAGCCCTGCGGGGGACACGCGCCGGGTGCCTGCGAGGGCAGCGCAGCAACCAGCACCTGCTGCGGGCACCGCACGGGATGGGAAGTGGGAACAGGGATCCCTGGAGCGTGTCCTGCCCCTCGGCACGACGGTCCTGTCCCCAATCCCTGGGAGCAGCGGGTGGGAAGCCCGGCAGTGAGCGCGGTGCCAACAAACACGGGTGTCTCCTCTGAGCTCTGGCTTCGGCCGCTGCGCGGAGCTGCCCGCTGACCCTCGGCATCGCGGCGG